GTCAGAAGTAATTATTGAACGTTCGTTTGTTTAGCGCGAATTGTTGAAGTTCAGTGTATCGGTAAAGTTATATTCGGAAAGAATAAACCAGTTTTATTAAGTAAAGACTTGTGTCGTTAAAATTTCGTCGGAACGAATTTGCGTAAAATTAATTAACGAAACGGAGACGTAACATTCCTCCTTCTTCAAAGCTCCTCCACTGCTTATTTTCCTTTTTAGTCGGCATCACCAAATGACCACTCAACTGAATCTTTCAAGAACACAAAACCCTGATTTTAACCCAATCTTATCAATACTTTCAAAACCAATCTCGTGGAGGGTGGGTGAAGAGAAACAGAAAGTTTCTGAACATCCCCGATTGTCTTTCCCAAACCGGAGAAGACAATAAACCGAAATTACTGCCAAGGAATGGGGCTGCACACAGTGACGTTGATATATTGAACAAATAAGTCCGTAAACTCGTCGTTTGTCACTAACGCCATGATTGAAAGATATCTCTTTCAAAATCCCACTACCGGCGAAAATATGCTCAACGAACGTGACTTGAATCTATGCTAAGCTAAAAAATATATGGACTTTAAGTACAGTTTAGAAAAGTGATTGGTCTCAGATGGTATGCTTTACATTGATATCCAATTGGAACAAATGACTTTCGTTAGTGCCAAGAGCTGAAAGCCATAAACGTTACGAGTCGCAAAAAAAAGAAACCCTACAGCGCATGTCCTAAAGACATGTTTTTCTTCCCTTTCCAAGACGATGGCGATAAAAGTATAAATATGATTTCTATGTGGGATGAATTTTTTTCGTCTCCTCCCCTCTACTAATTAACTTTTCTTCCATATTCCCACTCACAAACATTTCGAAAAATGCTAATAAAAAATATATTGAGTGATATTACACAGATGTAATCACTGGCTTGGATGAAGGACACAAAAACAGAGACTTGGGGGAAGTGGGGAGGAAAGTAAACATTGTATATGTATTTAGTTCCCAGTATCATCAAAATCCTATATCCTACAATTAATGCACTTGAACCTTTGTTTTATTATCATCATGTGTCAACTGAATGATAAAAACAATATCTTCTTGTTCAATATTTGTCGAGAAAACTTTCAATTCGTCAGAATTTACTTGCCTTTATATGTATACAATGTTGTTAGGAAATACAAATATACAACAAGAGATGTAATTCTATTGTTCTAACGACATAAATTTGTAAACACGTGCATTTACTGCTGTGTTTTTATAACTTTTTGATACGGTAAGCTGGATAATTGAAGAAGTGGGAGGAAGTAAACTGGAGAATTGAAGAAGTAGGAGGAAGTAAACTGGAGAATTAAAGAAGTAGGAGGAAGTAAACTGGAGAATTGAAGAAGTAGGAGGAAGTAAACTGGAGAATTAAAGAAGTAGGAGGAAGTAAGGTGGAAAATTGAAGAAGTAGGAGGAAGTAAACTGGAGAATTGACGACCGTAGGAGGAAGTAAGGTGGAAAATTGAAGAA